AAGCTCAGTCTGTTATGTAAGCCCCTGAAGGTGGAAGGTGCGCCTTGTCCCACAGATGCCTTTGTAAAAGAGTGCAGAGCACGTAGGCAAGGCATTTAAGGAAATCTTCTGACCAGACATTGAGTGGCCACTAAATTATCCTGAACCAGGTATGACCCTGTAGGCTCCCAGGATTAGAAAAAGAAACAAGAACTTTAAAAAGCTAGCAGAAAACTCAGAGGTCATACTCTTTAGAGAATGATCAATATGCAGAATTTGTTTAGGAAATTCAGAAACAAACAAACAGCAACAAACCTTTGAGGAATCTGATAACAGGAGCGTTGCAATATATGATCTAAAACACCTAGTTTTAAACAAAAATGTATGATACATATGAAGAAACAAAATAGTATGCATCACACACATGGAAAAAATCAGCCAGAAGAATATGTCACTGAAGAGGCATAGATTTTGATCTTAGTATGCAAAGTCTTTAAATGCGTTATTATAAATATATTAAAAAACTAAAATAAAGCACATTTGGAAAATAGAAGGAAAGTATGACAGTCTAACCAAATAAAGAATATGAATAAAGGAATAGAAATTATGAATGGAACAAAATGGGAAGTCTAGAGTTGCAAAGTACAATAACTGAAATGAGAAAATATTCAGAATGGCTCAACTGAATGGAGCTGGCAAAAGAAAGACTTCAACGGGCCAGCCCCAGTGGCGTAGTGGTTAACTTCAGCATGCTCCACTTCAGTGGCCCAGGTTTGATCACCAGGTGTTGACCTACACCACTTGTGGCCATGCTAGGGTGGCAACTCACATACAAAATAGGGGAAGATTTGCACAGATGTTAGCTCATGGCAAATCTTTCTCAGCAAAAAAAAAGAAGAAGAAGAATTAATGAATTTGAATATAGATCAATAGAGATTATGCAGACTCAGGGAGAGGGAGAAAAAAGAATGAAGAAAAATGAAGAACCTCAGAGACCTGTGGCACAGGACTGAGTGCACCAACATACACATAATTGACATCCCAGAGAAAGATAAAGCAAAAGGGCAGAAAAATACCTGAAGAATGAATGGCTGAAAACTCCCTGAATTTGAAGAAAAGTATTAATCTACACATCCAAGAAGCTTAATGAACTCCAAGTAGAATTAACTGAAAGAGAGCCATGCCTAAACACGGCATAGAGCTACTGACAAGAGTCAAAGATACAATCTAGAGAGTGGCAGGAAGAAACTGACTTTTCGTGTACAGGAGATCCTCAATAAGACCAAGAGATGACTTCTTGTCAGACGTCATGGCGGTCAGAAGGCAGTGGGATGACATCTTCAAAGAGTCAAAAAAGATAGTGAACCAAGACTTCCATATCCAGCTAAATTCTCCTTGAAAAGAAAAGAAATTAAGTCATTTCAAGATAAACAAAAATAGATAATTCTTGCTAGCAGAACTGTCCTACAGGAAATACTAAATGAGCCCTTCAGGCTGACAGGACAGGACACTAGACAGTAACTGGGATCCACATAAAGGAATACAGAGTGCCACTAAATGTAACTACATAGGTATCATGAAAGGCACTATAAACATATTTTTCTTTGGAACTCTTTTCTTCTGTTTTAAAAGACAACTGCACAAAGCAATACTTATAAAATGTGTCAATGGTTTATGACAATAATAGTACGAAAAAGGTGGAAGGGAATAGAGAAAAACTGGAAGAAAGTTTTTGTATAATACTGAAATGAAGTTAGATGCCAATTGCAATCCTCAGGCAACTCAAAAAATATAGTAAAAGAAATAAGGGAATTGAAAAGGTACACTAGGAAATGTCTACTTAACACAAAAGAAGACAGAAATGAGGAATGGAAGAATAGAAAAAGACATAAGATATACAGGAAAGAAATATCACATGGCATGTAAACCCTACCTTATCAGTAACTACGTTATAGATAAATGTATTAGACACTACAATAAAAAGTCAGAGAAAGGTAATATGGATTAAAACATTTTTTTGTATCTACTGGAAGACACTTTGGATTCAAAGACACAAATAAGTTGAAAGTTAAGGGATAGAAGGAGCAACCAAATGAGAGCTAGGGTGGATATATCGACATTAGACAAAATAGACTTTAAACAAAATTGTTAAAGACGAACAGGATATTTTATAACAATAAGTGGGTCAGACCATCAGGAAGACAATGAATATAAACATAAACGCACCAAACAAGAGTCCCTAATACATGAAGCAAAACCCAAGATCGAAGGGAGAAACAGACAATTCAACAAGAGTAGTTGAAGACTTCCACACACAGTGGGTTTGTTCATGTCCCCTCAAAATATGTGTCCAAGTCTTAACCCCTGGCACCTGTGAGGGTGATCTCACTAGGAAATAGGGTCTTCACAGATGGAATTAAATTAAGGATCTCAATATGAGATCAACCTCGATTTAGAATGGATCCTAATTCCAATAGCTAGTGTCCTTATAAGAGAAAAGAGAGGGATATTCAGACACTGATGCGCAGAGGCATTGGAAGACAGAGGCAGCGATATGAGATATACAGCCCCCAGCTGAGGAATGCCTGGAACTACCAAAGCTGGAAGAGGCAAGGAAGGATTCTCCCCTAGGGCCTTCAGAGGGATTGCAGTCCTGCCAACACCTTGATTTTGGACTTCTGGCGTCCACAACTGTGAGAGCATATGTGTCTCCTATTTTAAGCCCCCAAGTTTACAGTATTTTGTTAGCACAGCCCTAGGAACTAATACCACATCACTTTCAAAAATGGATGAATAACGAAGCATAAGATCAATAAAGAAATTGAATATTAGGACAGCACAGTAACCGATGAGATCTAACAGACTGTAGAATTTTCCACTCAACAACAGAAAAAGGCACATTCTTCTCAAGTGAATGAAGAACATTCTCTAGGATACGATAGAGTGTAAGTTAGGAGTTAAATGAAGCCTCAGTAAAATCTTAAAAATTGGAATCATACAAACTATTTTTTTCTAATCAGAAATGAATTAAATTAGAAATCTACAACAGAAGAAAATTTGAATTTCACATATGTGGAGAAATTAAACATTCTCCTAAATAACCAATAGCTATGGTCAATTGATTTTCAGCAAGGAGGCTAAGACAGTTCAATGGAGAAAGAACATCCTTTTCAAGAAATGGTGTTGGGAAAACTGGGTATCCACATGCAAAAGAATAAAATTAGATCCCTTCCTCACACCATACATAAAAATTAACTCAACAGCTATCAGACATATCTGTAACAGCTAAAACTATAAAACTTCTAGAAGAAAAAACTGGAGAATGTCTTTGCATCCTTGGTTTAGGCAATGGTTTCTTAGACATGACATCCAAAGCACTACCAACAAAAGAAGAAAATAGGAACATTTGACATCACGAAAATGAAAAACTTTCCTGCTTTAAAGAAAGCACATTAGGAAGACAGTGAAAAGACACAGATTGGTAGAAAATATTTGCAAATCGTACATTGATGATGGACTAGTATCCAGAATATATTAAGAACTCTTACAACTCAACAACAAAAAGACAAATAACCCAATTTAAAAATGGGCCAAAGATTTGAATAGGCATTTCTCCAAAGAAGATATGCAAATGGTCAATAAGCACATGAAAAGATGCTCAACATCATTAGTAGTAGGGAAACGCAAATCTAAACCTCAATGAAATATCAATTTACACTCATGAGGATGGCTAAAATAAAAAATGTAGAAAATAAGTGTTGACAATGATGTGGAGATATTGAAACTCTCATACATTGCTGATGGGAATGTAAAATATGAGACAGACACTTTGGAAAACAGGTGGTGGTTTGTCAGAATGCTCAACATAGATTTGCCATATGACCCAGCAATTCTACTTGTAGATACACACCGAAGACAGATGAAAACACAAGTCCACACAAAAACTTGTACATGTATGTTTACAGCAGCATCATTCATAACAGCAAAAAAATGGAAATAATTTAAATGCTCATAAACTTATGGATGGATAAACAAAATGTGGAATGTTCACATAATGGAATATTATTTACAAAACAACAACAAAGAATGAAGTCATGATACTCACTACAACATGGATGAACCTTGAACACACCATGCTAAGTGAAAGAATCCAGTCACAGAAGATCGCATGCATGACTTCATTTATGTGAAATATCCACAGTAGGCAGATCCACAGAGACACAAAGTGGATGACTGACTGTCGGGGGTTGGGGCGGAGGAGTGGGTAGCGGGAATGGGGAGTGAATGTTACTGTACGTGAGCTTTCCTTTGGGGAGTTGAAAATGTTCTAAAATTGGATTGTGGCGAAGGCTGCACAACTCCATGGTTAGTCTAAAAGCCACTGATCTGGACACTTTAAAGGGGTAAATTTTAGGGATGTGAAATATATTTCAATAAAAATATAAAAACAATAAACCTAGTATGAAAAGCTGAAAATAAAAGCCTGCAAGCTCTGGAGCGTGGCTGTCTGGATTGGAATCCCAGCTCTGTTACCTAGCAGCCATGCACCTATGGGGATTTACCTAAACTATGTGTGCCTCAGTTTACTCAACTGTAAAATGGGACAAGGGACAGTACACGTCTACTTCATACTATTGGTGTGAGGACTGATTAAGATAACACATACAAAAATGGTTAGAAAAGTGCCTGGCCAAAAATAAGCACCTTCTAAATCTTAACTGTGATACAATCTAGTATTTTCATTATTTAAATCAGCTCTATTTTTCAAATGAAAAATTGGAATATCCTTTGGATTTTGATACAGAAGTAGGTTAGATTTTTAAAATTTTGATTTCATCTTTGCAATTTCAAGGTCAGAGATTGAAAGAAATTCTCCTTAACGGTTATTATCTTCCTCCAGAAAATGCCCTAGGGATTATTACTTAGTGTTTCTCTGCATATTATGCTCTGGCATAATCCAAATGCTATGCTGGCCAAGGTCATGCTGGAGAAGAGCAGGACAAACGGGAAAGTGCATTTACCGGGTTGATGTTCCATAGAGATGAGGCCTGGATGCTGCAGAAATGGCCACGATCACGGCCGGGACGCCGTAGCCCACAGGGAACATGAGCCACTTCATGAACCTGCTCACACTGGAGTAGTTGACCACCGTCAGGTTTCGTGCAGTGAGGAAGAGGTGCAGGCCCTCCAGCAGCATCCAGGTGAAGGAGGCCAGGTAGAGATAGTGTAAGGCGCCCGCGATGAGTGCGCACAGCACCTGGGGGAGGAGTGAGGCCTCACCAGGAGGGACTGTCAGCGTGGAGTGTGGCCCCAGGACCTCTCCCGTGCCTTGCCATTGGGGAGAAGTCTGATGCGTATGAAGGAGCGGTCAGAGAGGGTTTGTCGTCTAGTTGCATCAGTCAATGTGACATTGGTCACTCACCCCCTAACCTTCCCCAGGACCCAAGATCATTTCATTAAGGCATCCAGGGCAGCATGGCTCCCATGGACCCAGCACCCCCTGGGGCAGGCCAGAGGGTCCACTGGGACTGGGTCAGTACCTTGATCTCCGTTCGGTCGATGGCCGTGAGGAAGAGGAGGTGGGCCAGGAAGAGGCAGAGCGAGAGCTGCAGGTGGAGGGAGGTGCTGGTGTTCTGGATGGCTCTGCACAGCAGGAAGGTGAGGGCTGCCAGGAGGAGGCACAGCAGAGAGAGGCTCAGCCCCACGTAGGTGATCACATCCAGCACGGGATCCTCCTTCTGGGACCCAGCAAAGAGGAGAGCACAGTCACTCCTTCCTGCTCTGGAGAAATGGCCCTTCCACCATTTTTATTTTTCTTTTTAGGCATAGAAGAATTTAGGAATGGAGAGGCCAGGTAAATTTGTGATGTTTGTGGCTAAGTACCTAAACGTTCAGAATGTTAGGACACTATGGGATTGTGAACTGATTGATTCAGAGCCTGGACGAAGCCCTGCCTGTCACAAGGGTTTGTTTTCCTTCATGAGTTGCCTGAATGCTTCTCTGGTCTGGTGACCTAGAGGAAGTAACCAGCTCACCTGCACAGGGGGGAGGCCAACACGGCCCCTGACCCACCTGTTCTCACTGGCTTCCCTGGTGCCCTCTGCCAAATCGTCCTTTCTGCAGCCCCTGAGCACTCCTGCACCAGAGACCCCTGAGGTGAGCAGAGGTCTAATTTGGCGACCATATCTCTGCCCCCGCGTGGACACACCCCTTCTTCCAGGTTTCCAGTCAAAAGCCAGTCCAGTGCTGCTGTGAAGGCATATGGCACATGGAGGGCCCACATCAGATCCTACATCAACTGCCTTGAAGAGAAGGAGTTTATCCTGGGTGGGCCTGGTCTAACCAGGTGAGCCCCTGAAAGATCCGGGCTTTTCTAGGAGAAAACCCCTCAAAGTTCGAGCGAGTTTTCATGTGAGGGAGCTTCAGCTGCTGGCCTCGAGATAGGCACTCTGACACCTTGTGAGAGAGCCCATGAGACGACCACACGAGAAGGGATGCAGGCGGCCCCCAGGTGCTGAGCATGTCCCCCGCTGCCAGGTAGCAAGAAAGTGGGACCTCAGTCCTACAACTGCAAGGAATTGAAGTCCCCCAACAACACACAGTGCAGAGGAGGACCCCAGGCCTCAGAGGAGAGGCTCGTAAGACCTGTAAGATGCCGACAGACAGCTGCACCACGCAGGACTGCTGACCTGCAGAGACTGGGGGTGACACATCTGTGGGTCTTTAAGCTGCAGCATCTGTGGGAATTGGTTGTAGTGTGACAGACATTGAACGCAGCCCCTCTCAGGGCCCTCACCTCCACATCCTCGGGGTTCACCAGGCTGGCCATGCTGCCCGGCAAGCCCAGGCAGGTGGTGTTGCCGTTCCGGCTGCCCAGCCTCCGGCACCCTGTGGTGGCCCAGTGCCCGCCCCCGTGGCCAGCTCCCTTCCAGAAGGCACAGATCAGCTCCTGCCGTGTCCCGGGCGTCTCTGGCTGTGGGCAGGTGGGGGTGACCGGAGAGGTTAGCCTGGACCCCCCTTGGGTCCTGAGCTCGGGCTGAGGCTGAGGAGGGCTGTTCTTCATATGCAGCTGCCCGCTGAGCGCCTGCTGCGTGGGCCAGGTGGGGGCACAGCCGTGACCAGGGCAGACCCACGTCCCTGCCCTGTGGGGCTGACACGCTCAGGGAGACAGAGGGTAAATAATAGACCTGATAAGTAAGTAAAGTAGACAGTGTGTTGGAAGGTGTCAGGCGCTATTTAAAAGTGTAAAAAGAAAGACTTGGCGGAGAGGAAGGAGAGCTGTGGCTCCAGGTTGTAATTTTCAGTAAGGAGGTCAGGGGAGGCCTAAAAGAGAAGGTGACATTTGAACAGACTGGAAACATGTAAAGGGCTGAGTCACGTGAGGGAAAGGTGTCCCAGGCAGAGGGCACAGCAAGCGCAAAGGCCCTGAGTTTTGAGGAAGGAGCAGAGTGGGCGCAGGTGGGCTGCAGAGGGACCACTCTGACCCTGGCTACCGGGTGAGTAGTGGGGCTGACCCCTCCCCACCCCAGGACTCACACGGTGGGAGAAGATGACGGTGACCTTGGGGTCGAGTTTCGTCGTGTTCGTGTTGCTCAGAAGGACTGACTTGACGGCCGAGAGGAGCCTCCACTGGATGCCGCGGAGGGGGCTGTCGTGGGTCTCTTCCAGCTCGGCTTGCCTCTCGGGGTCCAGCTCCAGGGAGGCGTTGGCCAGCGGTTTCTGCATGTTGGGGCTGGAGAGGATGCCCGCCACGGCAGGGCCTGCGGACAGACACACCGGCCCCTCTGCCTTCCCTCCTCCCTGAGATACCTCATCCAGGCTGGCCGTCCCGGGGGAGCCCGTCTGACCCTCACCCCTAGCCACATCCCAGCCCCTTCCCTCTCCACGGGCGCCCCCTGCACCCTGCCTTACCCGACCCCACAGCCCCGGCCGCCATGGCCCAGTCCAGGACCATCCGTGCGTGGCTCTGGCCCAGGGTGACATTCCCGTGTCCCTGCTCCTGGATCACCAGGGACAGCTCTGAGGGGAGAGGGGCAGTGACTAGGGGTCCGGGGAAGGACATGTGTTGGGCTGGGGCGGGCAGGGCAGGACGAGGCCTCACCTGTGCCTTCAGAAGACTGGTAGGTGAAGGAGGCTCCAGGCATGGCCTTGGCGAGGGTCCTCAGGATTTCTTCCAGGCCCGAGAGCAGGTGGGTGACCGTGTGGTGCCGGTCAGGCAGGGCCAGGGTCTCCAGGTCCCCGGGGGCTTTTAGCAGCTCGTCCACTGACTGGATGAGGTCCTGGGGGTGGTGGGTGACAGCCGCTGAGTCATTGCACCACAGGGGCCACCTGAATGACCCAGCTCTCCCCCACCAGGGACACAGGAGGACCCCCCGGGGCCTGGGGAGCACAGGTGGGCGTCATCGAGACCCCGCAGGAGCCAGAAGACCAGTGAGGGGGCAGCCTGTGGCCTGTGCGTGTGTCACAGCCACGGCCTCGACGTCCCTCAGGACTGGCCTCCTGCGCCTCCACCCAGAACAGTTGCCACGAGCCACGTGGCCGTCGGGCACTGGAAATGTGGCTGCTCCAAATGGAGCCGAGCTTGAAGTGTGAAATATGCAGCAAAATTGCAAACAATTAGTTAGAAAGAACGTGGAATATCTCAGTGACATTTTTATGATTCTGTGTTGAAATGGTAATGTTTTGGATCTATTGGGTTAAAGGCCATTTTCTCAGTACTTTCCCTTGTTTACTTGTACTTTTTATTTAATGTAGCTACCAGAAAATTTAAAATGACATACGGGCTCCCGCTTTTCTACCCGCTAAGCGCGCACCAGCTCCGCCCCGCGCCCCGGGCGCCAGCTGCTGTTTTTGGAGTCTCTTCTCTTAGTTCGTTTATGAAGTGAGGAGACGGGCGGAGTCACTTGCCTGAAGTCACTCGGCAGGGAGGGGCAGTGGGTGGGGCGGGGGATTTGAACCCTCGTGGCCCAGCTCCGGAGAGAAAATCCTTAACTGCTCCCTTCTCCCCCTCGAGTGCACGTGCGCGTTTCAGGCTGTGTGGGCACGTCCGTGCTTGAGTAACTGGTGTAGACACGGCGTGTATATGGCGCACACGGACACGAGTCTCCCTGAGCAGAGGCCCTGCTGGGGCTGTCTCCACTCACACGGAAGCATCCCCCAGACACCGCAGGGGACTGTCCTGGGCCCCTGGGTCCTGTCACTACCCGGACGGTGTTCTGGGCCGAGGCTGGCTTGAAGTGTCTGCGCAGATCCTGGACTCCTTCAAAGAAGCCGGAGAGACTCTGGGGGGAGGGGAGAAGAAGGGGTCAGGGAGCCTCGAGGGTGGGCGGGGAGCTGGGGGAAAAGGGGCGGACAGGGCAGGCTGCACGAGGGGATTCCTGCCTCCTGGTCCCTGCTGGGGGCACTCACCTGGCTCTGGATTCCGGGGGGCGGAGTCCAGGTGGGGAAGGACATCTCTGCAGCGGACAGACAGGGGTTCATTAGGGGTAAGAGGGTCTGTGTTTGTTGCGGTGGGGTCTGGGGTCGGGTCAGATCAGGTACCTTCGCACACGGTGGTGTTTTGGTTGTCCCGGAACCCCGGCAGGGGTGTCCACCCTGGGCGGCAGCAGCACCTGTATGAGCCCATGGTGTTGACGCAGACGGTGGAGTTGTGGCACCGGTGCTGACCAGAGCTGCACTCGTCGACATCTGGGGACAAGAAGACAGGGTCAGGCCAGGTCACAGCCTGGAGGAGGCCCCTCTCCCCTCCATGCCCCTCCCCTTTCTCGGTATTTGCCTCCCCTCCCCCCCGGGCTGGAGGTGATGCCACCTGGTGAAGGCACACCCTGAGTGGTGACCCCAGGTCATGGGGAGTGCAAATGTGACACAGCAGGTGAGCCAGACGGATGTGCAGGTTGTGAAATAGTGGGAACCTTCACCCCAGTTAGTAATTAGCTGCTGCCTGGGGTCCCAGGAGCCTTCCCCATGGTACCCCAGCTCCTTCCCCAGGACCCCCAGATCTTTTCCCATTTGGTCTCAAAAGGCTTATCGCCTGGCCCAGCAGCCGCCCCCAGCCTTCATGCTGCTGGGTCCGCATGGGAGCCATCGAGTATGTGAGCAGCTGTTCTGGGTGGGGGTCCCCAGGAGTGCAACTGCTGAGCTCTGGACTGGCACAGACGGTGCTGTCTGGGCCTTTGGGGGACGCAGGAACCGGCTTCCAGCCAGGGTGGCAGTGGCACTTGTAGCTGCCCAAGACACTGAGGCAGTGGGTGGAGCTGTGGCAGGGATTGTGCCCCGAGGCACATTCGTTCACATCTGAGGACAAAGCCAGAGGGTCAGGCCCTGCCCTCCACTCACTGCACCCCCGTCACTGCCCGGCACTAGGACCCCACCATTATTGCACGTGCCACCACCTGGTGACCTTCACCTTCGCCCTCAAAGCACCATATGGTGGCCTCCCTGCAACGTGGCCTTGCAGGGACCACAGCCCCCAGTTTACAGGCAGAGAAACCAGGAGGGAAACTGAGTAGTGGGGGCTGGACTTTTTTTTTTTTAAAGATTTTATTTTTTCCTTTTTCTCCTCAAAGTCCCCGGGTACATAGTTGGATATTTTTCATTGTGGGTCCTTCTAGTTGTGGCATGTGGGACGCTGCCTCAGCGTGGCTTGATGAGCAGTGCCATGTCCGCACCCAGGATTCGAACCAATGAAACACTGGGCTGCCTGCAGCGGAGCGCGCGAACTTAACCGCTCAGCCACGGGGCGGGGCTGGACTTTTTGACCAAGGACTCTTGCCGGCTCCTTCCTGGGCCCTGGTCCAGGTTCCCTTTCTGGAAAGTGGAAGTGACAGCTTCCTCTGCTCCCATGTGACAGACGAGGAAGGGGCGAGGTCTGGGGGTGCTCTCAGGGGCAGGGGGATCCACAGGGGACCCAGGCCCAGAGACCCTGCCGCCACCCTGCTCTTTGGGGACCTTCAGGGAGGTGGGCCCTGGGCAGGCTCAGCAGGTGTCAGCATCTCAAGGCCTGAGGATCGGCTCCTCCTAGGGCTGCAGGACCCGCCTCGGCTCCTTCCCAGTGCATCCAGCTTCGGTGTCTCCCCGGGGCTCTACCTGTGCACAGATTCGGGTCCTTTGGGTTGAGCTCCAAGCCCGGCGGGCACGTGCAGGTGTAGCTGCCCGGGGTGTTGGTCAGATGCTGCTGCCTTTACAGATTCTGGGTTTCTGCACACATTCGTACACGTCTGCAAGGGGAAGGAGAGGTGACGCGGCCTGCAGCCGTGGGCAGCCCTCGGGGCTGGGAGGCAGCCACGTTTCCGGGCAGAGAAGCATCTGGAAGGCCCCACTGTCTGTTCCCTGGTGAATGGGCGCCTTTTCTCATTCACGTGCAGGCCTGTGGGTGGATATGGTGGCCTGGATGCGCTGATGTCCAGAAGTGGCTGGAGGCGGCCTGAGTCCTCCCTGTCCCCAGCTCTGACTCCCTCAGCCTCCCTGGGCAGCTCCCAGCCGGGGTGGGGACATCAAGGCTACCTGCGTCTGAGGATTCGGTCAATGGCCAGGTGGGCCTTCCTGGAATCAAGAGCAGGGAAATGCTGCGTTCCCCTAGCAGCACCACCCTGGACCCAGTGATGGCCTTGTCCAGGGCGGGTGCTTCTGGTTGAGTTCTCCTTGGAATTCCCGTGAAACTGGAAGGACAGTGCTCTCCCATCCACGCTCACTCTGAGACTCCAGCTCTGTGGAAGTGGACCACGAGCCACCCCTGAGCCAGGCCCCTCCAGAAGGAGGCGTTCGGCAGAAGGGAGAGTGGAGATGGTGCTGGACAGTCCAGGGCAACCCAGACAGCGGGCGCCACGCTGGGTGGACAGTGGGGCTGACTGACGTCCGGCCAGGCAGCCTTGGGGCTGTGAAGGTGCCTTTTCCTGATTCCCATGAAGACATCCTCTGGACTGACAGAGGTGGGGAGATTCACATCGGATCAAGGCCAGCGGTGGGCGAGGGCTGGTGGCTGGAAGGGGAGCAGGTGCTAATGGGCGAGGGGTGGCAGAGGTTTCTGTCTTCTCAGCCCTCAGCCTCCCCCCAGAGATGCAGACTGTGGGCCCCGTGGCGTTGTTTCAGCCTCCATCTTCTGGGCCCAAGTGGTCCAGGTCAACGTGGGGCTGGGCTTGACCTCCTTGGGAGACAGTCAGCCTGGGGCGATGGTCCATGATGACACCCTCTCTTGCCATTTGGTCCTGATGGAGCTCTTCTGTCACCCAATTCTCTGAGTTTGTGTGGGGTGGTTTCCAGGTCACGCTGTCCACCCCTGAACCTGCTCCCCCCGGGTCCCGGTCATCCGCGTTGCCCACGGGCCATGAGCTGAAATTACTGGGGAGGGTCCGGGCAGAGCCTTGTTCAGAGAAGTCGATGGAGGCAGACCCTCTGGGTCAGGTGCCAGGAGGCGTCTTCAGCAGGTGGGGATGTTGGCCAGGGGCAGCACCAGCCGGGGAATGTGGACCTGCCCTTGAATCTCCCCCATCTCGTGTTTCTGGACGGGGTTCCTGGGTCCATCATGGCCTGGGGGCTCTGAGGGGGCTCCTGGTGTGGCCGAGCCCCTGTGGACTTCTGGCAGTGACTGAAGAGGATGGATATCGTGCTGGTACCAACACACTGTGAGCCCGTGAGTTCTCTTGATGCCAACCCTCTCGTTTCATGAAAATAAGATGCCATGTGGGCAAGGATGACATTCCAAAATTGCAGAAGTGTCCCTCTGTGGAGGGTTCTGAGCCTTGGGGTTCAAGAGGGCGAGTGGTTAGGTTGGTGCCAGGATGGCCCTCTGCTACCTGGAGAAAGTGGCGCAAATGATTCCAAGCCTCATGGATGAGGGGATGGCAGATGCAGGTGGTTCTTAGCTTGACACGTGTTCTCAATCTCATTTCTGAACGTTGTTGCCCCAGAAACGAGCCCATATCCGGGGGCACATGTGCAGTGGTAGCTCCCGTCCACATTCTGGCAATCCACGAATTTTCCACAGGACACCGCCAAGGGTGGTTCACACTCGTTGATGTCTGGAACACGACAGGGCAGAGGGTCACCTCCCAAAGGTGAGAGTTCCCAGAGAGCAGAGACCCTGGCCCCAGGCTCACCCTGCACAGGGATGGCACAGAACTCAGCTCCCGGGTGGCACCCCTGGGACACAGCTGGGCTGGAGCCATCTGCTCCAGAAATTCTGCTAATTCTGTGCTCCTCTCTGCTCTCTGGCTGGGCCTGAGGGCACCTAGATTCAGAAATTCTTTTGTCCCATGACGGGGGCTGGAAGGAGGTGTGCACCCCTCTCCACAGCTGGAGGGGTAGACGGAGGCATTGACTCAGCTCCAGACCCTCCCCTGGGGTGCTCTCAGCACCACTGGGGACCCGGGAGTGCACTCCAGTCAGGGTGACAGTGGCATTGAGGGCCACTCTCGATGCCGAGGAAGGGGAGGGAGCCATAGTGGGGGCTGTCCAGGGCCACGCTCATCATTCACACCTGGGGATAAAGCCAGGTGGTCAGGAGCCTGCCCAGCGCTGGCTTCCATCACCCTTTACGCACAGTGGCCCAAGTGCACCCACACTCCCCATCAGGCACTACCCCAGCTCCCCAGGTCGGGCCTTTCCCAGATGCCCCAGGATGTTTGCAGGGGAGTCTTGCCATCTCCACCCCTGAGAGAAGTCTCCCCTTAACAGAGCCTGTGGTGGATGTTAAATGAGGAAGCAGCACAAGCTGCTCACGGCTGAGTCATCGGGGTGTCTTCTGGCATCTTCTCTGTCCTTGTTCTCCCCTCATGAGAGGAAAGATGCCCATGAGCCACAGCCCCTTTGAGCAGCTCAGGACCCACAGAGCAGGGGCTGCACAGTGTAACTGAAAACAGCATCAGCTTAGTAAGAGCCACAGACACAAAAATGAATCAACATGCAGGGCAGGATGGCGGCCCTCGTGCATCCAAGGAGGGGACCAGAGACTTAAGCGCCTGAAAGGACTCACAGTGTCATGGTGAGTCAGGCAGGCGACTGGTCTCCCCCAGATTGGAGCTCTCTTCTCTGCACCTGAAGACTTCCCTTCTAAGGCCCAGACCCAGGCTGTGGGTGTCAGCACCAGGACAGGACAGGACGCAGGAGGGATGCACGCCTGAGGGATTTGTGTTCAGCCCCAACCTGGCAACAGGGCTTCCCTCCTCTGTTCTATGATGGCGGCAATGGCTGGACATCTGTTCCCAAGGTTGGCGGGAGGATGTGAAGCCAAGTGTGGGACCGTTGAGAATGAGGTGCAGGGGATGGGGGGAGACACGAGGATGGGACATCTCCACCTGACAGGCGCCCTCCCAGAGAGAAGCCGGGATCCAGGGGCATTAGCAGCAGGGTCTCCTGTCCATGGTCACCCATCTACAAATCTCCGTGAGACACACACGCACACACAGAGGAGACTTTAGGAACACCGCCAGGGTCGTGGATGGCTGGGTCGTTGTCACAACAACGTCGGCTTTTTCCACCTGACAAAATTTACTTTCCCCCAAATATTAAATAACACACGTATACTAGGAAACAAAGAAAATTATCCATAATCCACTCCACAGACTACTGAAACTTTTAGGGGTATTTTCTCTCATTTTTTCAAATCTATAGGGAGTGTTTTTCCCTTCATTATCAATAAATATGCATCCAAGACCATTTTGAGTCAATGAGGAGTATTTCCTAGTGTAAAACCAGTGTAATTTTCTTCTTTTCCCATTTTTAAAAATTGTGGTAAAATGCACAACATAAAATTTACCATCTGAACTATATTTAAATGGTATAACACCCTTTTATGACCCTGTGTTGTTGAAGAAGGAAAACCGCTTCGTTGTACACCTGGATTTCGATTCGACCACATGATTAGTTGTAGGATTTGGAAAAGTCACTCGATCTCTTTCCACCAAATCTGATCATTTAAACCACAAGCCGAGCTCTGCCTCCCTCACGGGGCTGCTGTGAGCATGAGGTGTGAGACCATGGTCGTGAGCTGGGTTCCTGGCGAGCTCTGGCTGGTAGGAGGGCCTGAGCTCCCCTGCCCGGGCTGTGTCTTTCCTCCTGTTGCTTCCATTATCTCTCCCGTTTCTTTGTATTAGTTGAATAATGACAATAATAACAGCAGTAACAATGATGATAGCTGTCACTTTTGATAATTCGCTGTGTACTAGTCTTTCCCTGTTCTTCCCACAGAGAAACGTTAAATCTCACACCATCCATGTGGGGCAGGTGCAGTGATTATCCCCAACTCACAGACAGGCAAACTGAGAGGAGAACCAATTTCCCGAATGTCGGAGAGCCAGTCAGGGGCAGAGCAGCACTCGGAGCCCTCGGAGCCCAGCTGCCCTGTGTGAGCTCTCAACTCTCTCCCTACTGACTGTGAAAGCAGGTGCCCACGTCCCTCACACTTCCTCTGCCTGTCTCCTCTCTCATCCCTGACAACGTGCTTCTGTGCTGCTCTCTGGGCTGAGGGCTCTGGATGCCACACAGTCTCCCCGCACCGTCCCCACGTGCCCCCACCACCCCAAGCCCCTACAGTACCGTCACAACTGTCCGCGGGGTTGGTGATGATCTCCCCAGACCAGGAGCTGAATCCTGGACGGCAGCGACAGGCAGTGGCATTGATACATGTGGAGTTCTGAGGGCACCAGGGAGCACAGCCTGGAGGGACAGAGGCTGCGGAGGCAGAGGCTGTGGGACAAGGACCACGGTCAGAAAGCCCATGGAATGGAGGAAGTCAGCTGTCAGCGGGGGGTCCAAGAGTAGAGGAGAGGAGGGCAGAGAGGGATGACCCCCATCAAGGAGGAAGAGCTCAGAAAAATCTGGACATTTAGGGGGGAAGAAACAGATTCTCTTGTCCCCATCTCTGAGCCTCGCTTGCAGAATAGGGCTCTTTTCCCTATCTTGTTGGTGACAGAACCCAGGCCCCAGCAGGGATGCCCCAGCTTATGTCAAAATGGGGCTGGCTGAGCAGACTCACCTCCAGAACTCAGGGCTGCAGCTCCCAATGGCAACAACAGCAGCACTGAGAGTCCTGGGGCAGAAAAAACAGAGAAGTGACAAGGAGAGGAGAGTTAAGCTCCAATTTTAACCTTTGGCCACATGGCCACTGCCTCCTGTGGAGGTGGCTCTGGCCTGCAGCACACGTCTTTCTAGCAGCATCCCCAAGGCTCCTGTACTGCACAGGAATCGAGGACTCAGCCTCTCCCTCCATCCCCCAGGACTCCCCGAGGACTCGGTTATTGACAGCCACAGCCACAGCCACAGCGATATCAGCAGGGCACGGAGCCCTGGAATCAGGGGGTGGTGACAACAGGTGGGGAGTGGGAACTAAGGAAGCTGCAGGTAGAGCAACTCTCTCCTGGTGAGTGGACTCTTCAGGGACAGCAGCCATGGCTTCCTGGTTCCTCCAGTGAGCTCCTGGCGTCCTCTAGTGCACTGAGGGCACAGCCTTCCCCCTTGGCCCCCAGGCCAGTCCTGAGAAATGAGTCACTGAGCAGGCGTGGTGGGGTGAAAGCCACTATGGGCACTAAGGAATGAAGTCTGCTGTACAGGCCACAACCAGTCTGCCTCACAGGGTCTGTCATCACATCTACGTGAGCTGAAAATCTTCAGATCTGCATGCCTTTACGGAATTTTTCTTTTTGGCTAAAAGCAAAGATGAATTTCTCTTAACGTTGCACTGCCAGTTCTCACTATGCAAGGTGGCGGAGGACCCTGGTGGATGATGGGTTTGGAGATGGACATGCCCACGTCTGCAGCCCAGATGTGGTACCTGGTGGCTGCACGGCTTCAGGAACGCTGCCCATTCTTTGCTCACACTTCCCCCAGTGCAAAGTGGGTGCAACGGTAACTGTGATAGGATGAGCTTTATTCTGACCGTAGATTAGTGAAGACTAACAATGGGTTAGCGCAGTGCCTGACACAGAGCAGACAGACAACGTAAGTCAGCTAAAGGGAAGGAAAGAGCAGAAGAAGGAAAGGAAGAGCAGCTCCCTCCTGCTCCTCTTCTACTTTCCTGTTCCCTGAGACACAGCTGCATGTGCCAGACTCCAGGGTCAGGCGGAATCACACGCTCAGCTCGGTTCTCTCAGGGGTCAGAGTCCTAGACTTCCACTCTGCCCTCCTTGCCACGAAATGTCCTTTTCTTTTGTGGCTCCAACCTGTGCTGAGGAAAGCCAGGCTCCGGGGCCAGACCACCCGAGACCACACCCAGCCCGGAGCTGCCCCTCGGGAAAGCTGTGCAGGCGACCCATGCCTCAGATGCCCATCAACCATGCTCCTGTTCCTAGAGTGTGGCCCCCAGAGCAGGCGCAAATGATCCTAATGTCCCATGCATGTGAATAAGGTCATTAGTCTACTGAGATGTTATACACGCACACCTAAAACTGTGCACATCTGGGAGAAGCTAAGTTTGCTCTCCATTTCTTTCAAAGCCCCACAGTATTTTGCACATTGGACCCTGCCAAATATGTGCAGATTTTTAAAAACAATCATGTTCCAGAAAGCAGATGGTAAGAAATATGGCTATTTTCATAAAAACCAGGAAACTAATTACAACCAATGAGGACAACATATAGGTAACATCTAACCTGCTAGGTGACATGTATTATCCTAAACGTTGAGGGAAATAGAGACTAATCAGAAGTAAGCTGACCTCACAGATAGCAGTTTTCACTAATTCACTCTTGTCCTTCTGATCACTCCATGACCCACACAAAACTGATAGACTTAAGGACTTTGTTTTTCTTAGAATATTAGACTTTTCTGAGAGTTTGGTTGTCTACTCTTCTGAAAAACAGTGGTATCGGTGGTATGATGTTTAATCTTATGCATCTCTTTACCTGGGCCACAGCACCCAGATATTTGATCAAACACCAGTCTAGATGGTGCTGTGAAGGTATTTTTAGATCATAGTAACATTTAGACCAGTAGACGTTGGGCAGGTAGATTACCCTCCACAATCTGAGTGGGCCTCACCCAATAAGTTGAAGAAGTTAAGAGAAAAAAGACTGACCCCTCTGCAGAAGAGGGAATTCTGCTCCCAGACTGGCTTCAGAGTTGAGATGCAACATCGAGTCTTCCCTGGGTTTCCAGCCTGCCATCAGGTTTTGGACTTTCCAACCTCCACAATCTCATGACCCAAGTCCTTAAAGTAAATCTAGATAGGTAGGTAGACAGACAGACGGACAGAGACAGAGAGAGACACAGAGACAGAGAGAGAGATACATCCTGTTGGTTCTGTTTCTCGGGAGAGCCTGAACTAATATGGGTGGTAAATCCCTTAGTCCCCACCTTTGCCCTCGCAATAAGTTTCACTGACTTTCTCCTTTGAGGACCGAACAGAACTGAGCTAATATCCTTCAAACTTCTTCCCCGCTTTTCCTTACAGAGATGGTGGGAAAACGAGCCAGAAATCGGGCAAAGAACAGAGAACATTCTCAAACTGTATAGACAGTTCTCAAGGTAGCTTATTCTTCTCTCATCATCGTTATAATTCTTCCTACCTGGCAGCAACCTTAGAAATCTCTTTCTCATGGTGCAGAGTCCACAAGCCCAGCCAGGGAGGACATCGGATCTTGGTCTGTGTGTGACAAAGACTTCCTGTTTTTAGTATGACTTCTGTCTTCATGAGCTGACTTAGGAAACCTCTTATCTCAATGCTTTCTTCCCCTGATCTGCCCCATGATTAACTTCTCTGAACCTCATAGTTCTGCTTTTAAGTATTTGTACAGCATCACTAGTATTTTCACTAAAACCCTGCCTGAGGCTGATTTTCATATCTTTTTGATAGAAGATGTGATACTGTGTTTAAAAGGCCTCCCAAATGTGAAGAATCATTCTACTGATCTCTTTGCCCCTATAAGGATCTCGATTCAGAATGAAAAGACCTGTCTATTTCTTATCTATTAACAGATTTCTCAAAGTTCTTATTTTGAAATAAATATAGGTTCACAGGAAGTTGCAAAAATGATACCAAGCTGTCCTGTGTACCCTTCACCCAGTTTCTGTCAAAGCTTACATTTTTATGGGATGATCCTGCAAGGTCTAAACCGAGCACCTGACACTGGGACAACGCGTGTATACAGTTCGGTGTCACTTTATCTCACGTGCACATGCCCGTAACTGTCCTGCAATCATGAGGTGTAATATTCCAGCGCCACAGAGGTCCCCCTCATCCTGCCCAACATCCCAGACTCCGGCAGGCCTAAAACCAAGTTGTCTCACTCTTCAACAATGTCAAAATGGTCCCTGATTCATATTTATTGATAAAGGAAAATATTCGTGGTATGTTTTAGAAGATGATAAAAACACACTCCCCAAATCTTCCAGTAGTCTATGTGGTGGGATTATGCTGATTTTCTTTGCTTTCAGCTTTTACATCTTCTGCGTTTTCTACACATCCATGTGCATTAGTCTGCTAGAGCTGCCATAACAAAATAGCGTGGAATGGGTGGCTTAAACAACAGAAATTTATTTTCTCACAGTTCTGGAGGCTGGGTGTCGAAGATGAAGGTGCTGGCAGGGCTGGTTTCTGGTGGGTCTCTCTCCTGGCTTCCAGATGGCTGCCTTCTCACTTTGCCCAAACATAGGCTTTCCTCTGCGTGTGGAACAGAAGAGAGAGATCTCTGTTGTCTCTTCCTTTCCTTTAAAGACGTCAGGCCTGAGCAGCCCTGATGGCCTAGTTGTTAAAGTTTGGTGCTCACCACGTCAGCGGCACAGTTGACTTCCCCGTTGCAGAACCACATCACCCATCTGTCGGGTGCCATGCTAGGGTGGTGGCTCATGTAGAGGAACCAGAACAACTGACAACCAGGATATACAGCTGTGCCCTGGGGCTTTTGGGAGGGAAAAAAATAGGAAGGTTGGCAACAGATGTTAGCTCAGGGTGAATCTTACCCTGGGAAAAAAAGACATCGATCCTGTGGGACTAGGGCCCTGCCCTCATGACCTCATTTCACCTTAATTATTCCTAAAGGGCCCATCTTCACATGTCCTTACATGGGGGTCAGTCTTCAACATATGAATTTTAGGGGGACACAATTTAGTCCATTACGTCACATTTACTTAATATTTGGGGGAAAAGTAAATTTAATTAAAAAAAAAAACATGTCTTCATTTCCCCTTCATTCCTGAGGGTATTTTTTCTGTATATAGAATTCTAGGATGACAACTCTTTTGTCTCAACACTTGCGAAATGTGTGCCTTGCACTGGCCGCCGTGGTTTCCGAGGACCAGTCAGCAGTGATTCCAGTTGTTCTGCCTTATAGATCAGGCCTCCTTATTCTCACTGTCTCAGGGTTTGTTCTTTGTCTTTAGTTTCAAAAGTCTGATTGTGCTGTATCTTGGCCTAGATTTGAGTTTACCCGGCTTGGAGTAGCCTCAGCTTCTCGAATCTATTGCTTTTTGTCTTTTGGCAAATTTCGGAAGTTTTAAGGCACTTTTCCTGAATAACTTTTCAGATGCACATTCGTTTTTCATCTCCCTCTGGAATTCAAGGACACAAATATTAGATTTCTGTTATAGTCCTGCAGGGCCCTGAGACTCTGCTCATTTTTTTTTTTTTGTATATTCTATTTAGTCTCCTTTGTGCTGACTGGATAATTTAAATTGTTCTGTTTTCAAGTTCACTGATTTATCCCCCTCTTTTGTCTCCATTCTGCTATTGAGCCCGTTTGGTAGATTTCTCATTTCAGTTATTGCATTTTTGAGGTCTAATATTTCCATTTAGGTCTTTTTTATATCAGATATTTCTTTGTCAAGATTTTCCATTTCTTGGCCGAGACTTTCTGGTTTTTTGTTTGTTTCAGAAACCTTTGTTTGTGATTGAACATTGGAACATTTTTTCTGACAGGGGCTTTAAAATACCTGTCAGATCATTCTAACACATGTCTCATATCAAACTGAGATTTTCCTGTTTCCTGGGAGGACAATGACTTTTTCATTGTACCCTGGCTATGTAAGGTATCATGTTTTGAAATTCATAGACTCATAAACTTAAGGTATTATGTTACCAAGGTCTTCAGTTTTGGCTGACTCCTCTGACATCATTGCAGTGGGGAAAGTGCTGCCATCTCGTTTCTGGCCCACGAGGCTGGGATCCAGCTTTCCCGCTTGGGCTCCACTGATGCTCCCGTAGGGGAGGGATACCTTGTTACCACTGGGTGGGGTTGGAGGGTCTCGCTCACAACCAGGCCTCTGCTGACACCACAGACGGGGGCTCTTTCCAATGGGCGTGATGAGCATCCCAGCTCCTTCTCTGCTGCAGCCCGTGGGTTGGGAGGAGCGCTTCCTTACAGACAGCAGGAGTGGAGGGCTGGGCTTCCCACCTGACCTCTGCTGCTGAGGGGAAGACACAGTCTTTTCTGTGGTGTTTGGTTGGAGTGGGCAATTACTGTTGACCTGCTCTCTGTTGTGTTGGCTGCCCATTCTCATTCTTTTGGCTAAGCGGGGAGCAGGCTTCTCTCGCGGGCACTTCTTTTATCTGCACCCGTTGGTATTTCTGGGTTGCAACCTCTTCATTCCAAGTCTGGGATGTATGAGGCAGGAAGAAAACCCACAGAATCAACACTGCGTATTTCCTTGGGTCTCAGGGTCCCTGTGCTATCTGCCTTCTCTGCACCTTTCAGAGTCTTCTTATGGTTGTTTTATGTATAAAATGTTTATATTTACTATAGTTGTAGTTGGGTTTTAACATAAAGTTTTTCATACTATCAATTGTTCTCAACTTGTCCTTCAGGCAACAGTACTTTTTGGAGAGTTTTCGCATGACGTACATACAGATCCACATCTTTCTTTTTGGCTGCTGTTGTATATATTTAGATTACACAATATGAATAAGTTATATCTTCCATTCCTTGTTTGATGCACATTTAGATGGGCTCTTGTTTCTCATTGTTACAATAATTCTGCAGTGAACGTATCAGAAATATCACATGGAGATCATTTGTAAATTTCCTTAGGAGATTCAACAAGTGGTTCAGGTACTTGGTTGAAGAGCATGCATATTTTACATTGTAATAAATTCTGCCAAACTTCTATCTGGTAGGATCTATCAAATTACCCAGGTGCTATAGAAGAGGATCAATCTCCCACGTTCATACTTTTTTAAATTTCATTTTGAACATGAAAAATTTTGTTGACCTGTGATTTCAGTGACTTCTATGCTAGGTCAATCCTTTATCTCATTTAGAAGGAAATTAATGAAAGAGAGATGCAGGGACTTCAAAATGTCTAGAAGGTGTGTTCCTTATATATTTGTGGATGGAGAAAAGTCAAAGACTTCAAGAATATAAGCCAACCTCTCTGAGCACACAGGTGCCTCCATCCTTAGGATGACAAGGCCAGACCAGGTGAACTGCACGGTACCTTTCAACTGTACAATTCTAAGATTCTGCAAGCTTAGCAGTTAGCCATCAGGACGCTTAGGGATCACAGACGTCTTGGAATCTTGAAATTATACATTATCAAAGGTTTTCATTTTCCCCAATTTGAAGGGTAAAGAATTTATCTTATCATTTCAGTCTGTACTTCTCTCATTTACCAGTGTAAATTTCAACAAATTTTCATGTCTTTTTGCATTTTCCTGGTTCTCTCTGTGAGTTACCTCCTCATATCTTTTGCACGCTTTCTATCGTATTCCTTCATTCTTACTATTTAAGGAGTTAACAATATGTGCGTGCATGTGTTTACGTGTCGCATGTATCTGTATCTATATATCTTTCCCTAAATAAAGCAAAATTTTTTATTGTATCACATGTCTCCAAACTCTTATTATGGTGTCTTTTGTCACATAAACTATTCTTCCTGAGAACCCTGTCACCTGCTTTATTTCTGGGGAAGGATAAGGGGAGAAGAGAGAATATTCACTTGAACTTGAGCAGCAGCTAAATTGGAAGCAATGGAGTCAGCAATTTTAGGTCTCTAAGCTTCCTCTGATCCATCAGGGAATGCTGGAACTTCCTTGTTTGGAGATTCAAATTTTTCCCTGGGGGATGGTCATCCGTTTTCTGTGGGTTAAAAGAATAAAGAACCACAACCTCAAATCACCAATTGGGATTTGAACACAGAAAATAAGGCCAGTTGCTCCTTTCAAATGCGGATGTTTACATTAAACTGCAGTTACAAACCCTAGATGTTTTCTCTTGATTCCACCCTTCCCCCACCCCTGACAGGAGCCCCAGGAACCTGCAGAGCATGCGCATCACCAACCAGATGTGAATCCAGCTGTCCCTCCACACTGGAGTCCGACTGCTCATGGACTGTCCTAGCTCAGCTGCCCTAAGGGCCTGGAAGCAGTAGCTGTGCTGCCAGGGAGGGCAGATGCTAAGGATGCCACCAGTCAGAGAGTCGAACGCTGGGCACTGGGTCCAGGATGACATGCACACCCTGTTCACGGCACAGTGTCCGACCACCATGGACAGGAGTGTCTTGGAACAACAGTCTCACTAATGATACCCCTTGTCCGTTCTCACACTGATATAGATGGGATAAATCTCAGCCCCATGACAATTGGAATAATGATGAAATTGAGGGTGGTGTCATCATAAACCCATAAACTTTTCGTCTCATTTTGATGCGGTTTTTCCATTATTTTCTGTATGGATTTTTACTTTAGTTCTT